GGGGGGCAGGGGAGGTAATTAGGTATTTATTTATTTTTTAAATGGAAGTACTGGGGATTGAACCCAGAATCTTGTGCATGTTGGACACACCCTCTACCACTGAGCTATACCCTCCGCACCACAGAAACCTCCCTGATTTTAAGTGGTGGTGACCAATTAACATTTTGGAAAGGTCCTTTCAGGGTCTGTAGAATAGAAATGCAAAAAAGAGCAAGGAGACTGGGGACTTGTGAAGAAGCTTCAGTTGTGATACTGACATCCAGGCAGCAGTGATCAGGGCGCGGTTGGCCAGGTGCTGGGGTAGGAGGGTCAAGAAAAGTTAGCTACAAAGTAGGGAGCGCCCCTGGATGACCCTGGGTGCCTGGTTGGATGTGGGGGCGAAGGAGCAGGATGAGCTGAAATGGGTGCCCAGGGACCCGTCCGGACCAGAGGTGAGGTGGCTGAGGGCCTTGCTCAGAGAGAAGGTGCTGTGTGACTGGGCGGTGAAGGTGGTGCCAGGTCGTGGGGGAAACGTGGAGGCTGTGAGAAAGCCAAGAGCTCCTGTGGGAGTAGGGTGCTTCGACCACCGTCCCTTTGGTTTCCAGGGTGACCAGCGGGATGAGGAGGAAGAGACCCAGATGAAGAAGTCAGAATCGGAGGTAGAGGTGAGAGCTGGGGGGACAGGACAGCTGAGGTGGGCAGCGCTGTCTCAGTCAGGCCTGGCCTGGCCCTGACCCTTTCCTTATGTCCCCAGGAGGCAGCAGCCATCATTGCCCAGCGACCTGATAACCCACGGGAGTTCTTTAAGCAGCAGGAAAGAGTCGCATCGGCTTCCGCAGGCAGCTGCGATGTGCCCTCACCCTTCAACCACCGACCAGGTAGTCCCAGCTCCCACCCTCACCCAACCCCAACTCCTCCAGTTTTGGCCTTGAGCCCCTTTGGGACCTGTCTAGGAAGGAAAGCCTTGCCCAAGGAAGGACCCCTTGGAGAAGGCAAGGCTGATTGTCAAGTGTGCTTCCACCCACTGCCTCCAGGTGGCAGGGCTGAGGGGCTCAGATGGGGTCAGTGTTGGGCCTGGGCTGAGCAATGGGTAGTGCTGGGGGGCCATCCGGGCAGCTCTGACAGGGGCTAAGGCATCTCCCTGGCTGCAGGGAGTGGCCCTGCCCCGGTGGAACTAGATCTTGTCTGAAGGGCTGTACGTGCATGTGGGATGGGCTCTCGCCCTGGCCCTGAGCGGGTGCAGCCTGCAGCCCATACCCAGGGTTCCCTGTTTGGATTCTCTCTGTGTAGCTCCCGCCTCTCCCTGAAGCAACCTTCCACTCCCTGTCTGCTGATCTGAGCGTTTGCCCCTTCTGTGTGCTTGGCTCTGTGCTGGGGCTCCGAGGGTGGGGCAGGCTGTCCCCAGGCATGTGCTGCTCAGAGGCTGGCTGCATTGTGGTGTGTCAGGCTCTCTGCTGTGCGTGGCTGGTGCTGGTGGGAGTCATCTGATGGCTTGAGGCTCTGGCCCAGCTTGGCTGAATATGTGCTCTGGCTGAAGGCAGCTTGAACATCCAGGGCCAGCCCTGGGGGTGGGTGAGGCCTCATGGCGGGTGGGGGAGACTGACCCTCTCTTGTGCTCTGTCTCTCTCTCTCTGTCTGTCTCTTTTGGCAGGTCGTCCGTACTGCCCTTTCATAAAGGCATCGGACAGTGGGCCTTCCTCCTCCTCCTCTTCCTCCTCCTCCCCTCCACGGACTCCCTTTCCCTATATCACCTGTCACCGCACCCCAAACCTCTCTTCCTCCCTCCCATGTAGGTAGCAGCCCCAGGCCTCCACGGGGGGGTAAGGAGGGCCCCGCTTCCCAGCAGCCCCCCTGCCCTCACTCCCCCAGCCTGAACGCTGATCTCTGGTGTTTGTGCCCAGAGCAGGTACCGCCTGCCTCTCTCCCTTGGCCCTCAAGGTGCTCTGGCCCTTAGGGGCCTGGCTTACACGGTTTGGAGCTGTGGTCTGGCCCCTGGGGGGCCTGGGGAGCTCCCAGCCCCCACCCAGACTCCAGAGAGGAGGTGCTGGCCAGGCCCCGAGGTGGACAGTCCTGGTCCCACCTGGCTCCCTGACCCTCACTGACCAGCCTGGGGGTTTGTTCCATAGGCAGCCACCTGGACAGCCACCGGAGGATGGCGCCCACCCCCATCCCTGCCCGGAGCCCATCTGACTCCAGCACGGCCTCCACGCCCGTCGCTGAGCGGATCGAGCGGGCCCTGGATGAGGTCACATCTTCGCAACCTCCACCACTGCCACCACCACTCCCACCAGCCCAAGGTGAGTGAGGGGCCCTTGTCTCTGGGCTGGGACACCAAGTGGCTATGGTAACGACCCCCCAGGGATCTGGGCCACCCCTCACCTAGACTGCGCTGCCCTGGAAGTGGCTGTGACAGGGAGGTCAAACCTGCCCTCGCTGAACCTCAGTGTCTCTCCCTGGAGTGGGGATTGGGCCTTCCTCCCGGGCAACTGAGTGGTTTAAAGACACTAGGTAGATGGGCAGTGGGGGCCAGTGGGTGCTAGAAGGCACTCTGCGTGGAAGTCTTGGTAGAGGTCTTTCCTGGAGGTTGCCAGTTCCTCGGTGGGTGGCAAAGTACTGTCGAGGGTGGCTGTCCAGGGCCCCCAGCCTTCCTGGGAGCTGATCACATGTCTCCTCCATCTGGGCTGTGACAGAGACCCAGGAGCCCAGCCCTGGCCTGGACAGTGAAGAGCCCAGCAAGGAAGCCAGAGCAGCAGCCTCGGAGGCCTGGGCCGGCGGCCCCGAGGAGGAGCCCCCTCAGGCAGCAGAGCCCCCCCAGGCCCAGGGCAGCCCCACGGAGGACTTGATGTTCATGGTGTCTACAGAGCAGGCTGCCCTGGCTGCCCCTCTAGAACCGGCCGGGGCTGGAGCCTCAACCACCGACACCCCAGCAGCTGGTGCCACTGAAACCGACACTGCCGCTGCTGACACCGCTGTTGCCAACGCCATCACCCCTGCCGCTGCCAGCCTCATTGACCTATGGCCTGGCAATGGGGAAGGGGCCTCCGCGCCCCAGGCTGAGCCTAGGGCCCCCACACCACCCTCGGGTGCCGAGGTCACTCTGGCGGAGGTGCCCCTGCTGGACGAGGTGGCTCGGGAGCCGCTGCCACCAACAGGTGAAGGCAGTGCCAACCTTCTCAATTTTGATGAGCTGCCTGAGCCGCCTGCCACTTTCTGTGACCCAGAGGAGGAAGTAGAAGGGGAGCCCTTGGCTGCCCCCCAGGCTCCAATTCTGCCCTCAGCTCTAGAGGAGCTGGATCAGGAGCCTGAGCTGGAGCCGGAGCCGGAGCCCCACCTGCTGACCAATGGCGAGACCACCCAGAAGGAGGGGACCCAGGTGGGGCTGGGGCTGCTTGGTGGGAGGGGAAATAGTCAGGGCTGGAGCAGGGGGCTGACCCTGCCTTCCTCAGGCTTACGGAAGTACCTTCTCCCCTTTCCCTGTGACCCATATTGTTGAGGGGGTAAGCTCTGTATCATTTCCCATCCCTGAGGCCGGCTCTGCTTTTATTCCCAAGACGGGCATCTGTGTTTCCCTAGCAACCACTGATGGAATCACAGGTTGTCAAGGAAACGGTGCTCAGGCCTGGTAGGTCAGCCCTAGTCCTGCTGGGTGGGTCCCAGTGACATGGAGCTTTTCTCCTGCAGGCCAGTGAGGGGTACTTCAGCCAATCACAGGAGGAAGAGTTTGCCCAATCGGAAGAGCCCTGCGCAAAGGCTCCGCCTCCTGTGTTCTACAACAAGCCTCCAGGTAGTGCTGGGATGGGTGATGGGGAGGAATTTGGGTCACGGTGCTGTGTTCAAATGTAGACAGCCTCACAGCACACAGTTGGCACAGCTCCCTGGGGTTGAGGGGACACAGGCATGGATCTGCTGGGCCATCTCCTTAACTTCCCTCCCTTCCCCACACCGCAGAAATCGACATCACCTGCTGGGATGCAGACCCAGTACCAGAAGAGGAGGAGGGCTTCGAGGGTGGCGACTAGCAGTGGTGCCTGCCCTCAGGCTGCCCTCGCCAAGGCCGCCCACCTGCGCCGGCCTCTGGCCAGACGGCCCGCAGTGCCTGCACTCGCAGCAGCTCCGCCTGGCACCCACTCTGGATTCCGGCCCTGGCCGAGGACTTGGCCGCTTCCCTACCCACAGGGCCCGACTTTTACAGCTTTTCTCTTTTTTTTTAAAGTTGATAGGAGACTTGTACAGTTGACTGGTTTTCCTCCCGTTGGTAGTTGAGACGCTGTTGCAAATTCCACCCCTTCCCGCCCGGTCCAGATTGTAGCTTAGTCCTCCCTGCTCACTCAGTTGGCCGGGGTGGAGGCCTCACCCTGCTTGGGGCCTGGCGTTGGGGGGAGCTCTGGTGGGAAAATGTTCCCCCCACCTCTTTTCCTAGTTTTCTGTTTCTTGGAAAAATATCACTTTGTATTCTCTGTCCAGGGCTTCAGATATTTTGCACGAATTTTAAAACATGGCAATAAATGGCTCGTGGGCTCTGGCTCCCTGGGACCCCTCCCCTCCCCAGCCTTCTCTTGGCCCCTCCCCACCTGGCCTGAAGGAAGTAGCAGGCCCAGCTGGGGCCCCTCAGCTTCCCGGCCCTTTCCTGCCCCCTCCTGCTGGGCAGGTCCCAGGCTGGAGGCCCTAGGTATGATTCAGGTCAGGGCTATGGGTGGCCCCTCTCCACCTCCTCCCTCTTTGCTTGGGTTCCTTTTTCACGTTCAGTAACTGTTTTTTGGAAAGCACAAACTTCTGTAACAGGTCGTGCTCATGTCTGTTAATAAAGAAATCCAGATCCCTTCAGGCCTGCTGCTCCGGGCCTCCAGGGGCTGATCTGGGGTGGGCCGCCTGCCCTGACCCCATTCCCAAGTCTTCCCACCTCCAAGGATGCAGAGGGCACCTCATCATGACTTCATGGGCAAGGAAGGTGAGGTCTGAAGCTCCCGAGGTTACTAGCCTCTGGTTTGAAGCAGGCAGACCTCAGGCTTAGTCCTGCGCCCTCTGGCCAGTTTGTAGCTGAAAGGTGCATTTAGGTAAGGTCCCGCCAAGGCCGGGCAGGCCTGGCCGCTAGAACCTTGGGCGCAAGCAGTGGGTGCCCCCTCCGCTTGTACCAAACCAGATCACACACCTTTATTATCCTCAAAATGTAACAAACGGGGTAAGAAATCCCTCCCTCCCCACCCCCCCACCCCCCACAGTCCAAGGGAAGCATTTAAAAAGCCCCGCAATCAGGCCAGGAGTCTGCAGGTGGGGCCCGGGACGCCGGGCGCCCCTCTATACGGCTGTAGTCCTCCCGAACAAGGGGGATGGAGACCGGCAGGCGCCAAGCTCCGTGCTCCAGTGGCTCTCGGTTGCTGAGCTCCGAGTCGGTCCAGCTGGGGGAAGACCCGGCGGCCGCGGTCTGCCTGCAGGCAGAGCGCAGGGCAGGGCGGTGCGGGGCCGGGGGGCGCTGGGCAGGTGCAGCGCCGACGTGTAGCCCCGATCCAGGAAGAGCGGCTTGTAACTGGGCGGCGGCTGCTCCTGTTTCTCCGCACTGTCGCGGCGGCTCAGAAAGGGCGTGACGATCTTGCGGTAGAGGCCGCGCGTGTCGGTGAGCACCTCGCTGTAGGGCGGCGGCGGCTCGGCCATCAGCACCGCCTCTTCGTAGCACGGTGGCTTGGACATGTCCGATTCCGCTGCGAAGTAGGAAGCGGTCTCAGGGCGTGAGGCCACCTGTCCCCAACCTCCCTCAGAGACCTTGGTCAGTCGCCAACCCCAGACCCAGCCCGATTCCTCCCGGGTTTTCAAGGAGGCCCTCCGCTGGAAGCCTCGCGGGTCAGCAGCGAGTCCGCCGCCCGCCGAGGCCTCCCCGACCCCAGTGGCCCAGGCCGCCTCCTGGCGGAGGTGGGTACTTACCTTGGCGCGGGTAGCTCCAGGGCCGCGGCGGCACGGAGAGGTGCGGCGGCGGCGGGTGCGGAAGCGCGTGGTGGTGT